AAAACCTAGCTCAGAATGATACAATGAATGTCTATTCCCCTCCCTCTCTCTCTCTCTTTCTGTTCAAGACTATGTGGTTATGAGTTTTGAAAGTATTATCCATCTTATTGTGGGCTCTAAAGTTAAAATAACTCCTAGAATCATAGAATATTATAGCACAGGAGGCCATTTGGTCCTTCATGCATGTGCTACCTCGTTGGAAGAGCTACCCAATCAGTCCCATTCCCCCACTCTTTTCCCATACACATGCATATTTTTCCTTTTCAAGTAAATTGGTAAGATATTCAGAAAAGCCAATGTATGGCCGGTGCGGGAATAGACAATGTCACAATGGTGCATTGATGCGTCCTTTTCTAAGGTCGGGGTTCAGGCAAATTGATATCACAGCAGGAGATCCATCTTTATCTTGCCACACTTGTCCTTTAATTGACCTTGTAATTGCTCGATGTTGACACTGAGTGACTAAAATGGAGAAAGTGCTCCAATCATCAGCAAAATCATTCCTCAGCTTGATGAGCATGAAACCACTCACTAATTTAACAAAAGAGGATCTATTGATTAAGTGAATGCTGTGGATGTTGATGAGGTGACATATTGAAGATATTTTCAAAAAGGAAGGCAGATAGTATTAAAGGAAAGTGACAGCTTAGACAGAGAAATGGCCAAAAGGCGGGAAGTAAAATAATACTAGCAAGTGCTCAGGATTACCTGGAACAAGTGATTAAATTACAACCTCCCTCTATGTACAGCCACCTCGTTGCCTCTCAGAATAACTGGCATTCTTGTATTTACCCACGTAAACATTGGAGTCCAATTAGCAATAAATGTCAAATTTATAGATAGCAAATCCTGCAGGTACCTGAATGTGTTTGTCTGGAACACCACTTGAAAGCTGATCTGAGCTTTGACTTGTGGATCGTGGCCAAAGGATGACTCTGGAAGCAGGGAGGAGATCAGTGTTTGAGCAGAGTTCCAGATCTGCTATTTAGAAACCCATTTGTAAGTAACGTAGATTAGTCCCTAGTGTCAATGTAAATAAACATTCAATACCACTTGCTGAGTAAAGTAAAATATTTTGTTGATGTGAAAAACTACTGTAATGTACATACTCCACGCTTTGGGGCGTACTCCCGATGTGAAAGGTGCTATACAAATATAATTTGTTGTTGTTGATGTACAGAAGGATGAGGTGAATGTGTCAGAGGAATCTTTAGGTAAGTTTGGTGGTTTAGGTAGATAGATGAATCATTGGTCCAACACCTGCCTATTACTATTATTAGAATTCTAGTGAAGAGGTTTTTCTTCCAGAGGATACATGTTGGGCTACAAAATGCGAAACTAAAAATGTGATTTAATGGTAAATTGTCACCTTTTATTTTAGAGAAATCACTTATTTAAAACTACATTATAGGACTGTTAAACATTGTAGTTACTGGCTGTTCGAGAAATGTATTTAAACAATGGAACACTGAAAGCCACCCAGATGACAGGATAATATCAGACTTCATTTGCGATAGCCATAATCAGAAACAATGAACTCAAATGTCAGTACTTGGACTAGCTTCTAACTACACCTCCTGGCTGCTTTTATTGCTAGTGGATGATTTGAATGCTAACATAAACCTAGCATACCTCTTCATGAAAGGAGTCCAGTGTCTGAGGAGAAAAAACGGGGCTTGTAAAAGTTTTGAGTCCCACCTAATATTGCACTTTAAGTTATGGAGGTAGGAAAACTGAAGGTGTCTAGAGACATATGGACTAACCCAGAAACAACTCCCAGTATATCCATCTGGATCTGGTGAGAGGAAGCCACAAGGGAGTTTATTTCTTTTTACAAATATATTTTATTAATATTTGCCAGGTGTACATAAATGTTTGAAGCACATTGCACTTCATTCACACAGCATTTTGCAAGGCCATGCACTGCATGCCATAGGGAATATCAGAGAGTTGTGCATACTTAAAGGACATCACACGCTGGTGACACTCAATCTGCCTCTGGCAGGGATCAAGGTCAGAGAGGTAATAAAGTGCGTGTGGTTGGAGGAATTCTCAGGGAAAGGATGGGAGAACATCTTTGTGTTTGAGCGTGTGAATGTATGTGTGTGCATGGTGTTCCTTTGATAAACAAATGTTTGGAGCTCAGTGTCAGGCATGGTTACAATTTCCTTCCTGTCTTCCATTTCAGATGTGCCTCACTTACTGAAGCCCGTGGAAGAAGCTATATACAGTAATGTGGTCTGGTACTCACTCTCCCTGTACCAACTGAAGCCCATGCAATGGCAAATGAGAGGATTATTTTGAGTCTAATATGCAAACAACATGAGAGTGGGTAAATGCTGTTTGTGATGCAATGTGCAGCCAGATTGCTTCCATTTAAAATATTTTTTTTTGCAAAGACTTATTACAATATTGTACAGGAAATTAACAAGATACCGTAAACCAACACATCTACGGTTTGTTGCATCACCATTCACCATTTGTCAAAATAGGAAAATATAACCTACAAAACAGGGGTATTATAAAAAGGTCTTTCCAACAACATGTGCTAGAGAGGCTAATCTGTGGACCTCGGGTGAGGAAAGGCCCTTGGGTGTGATACTCTCCTGTGATCGATCAGCTTGTCAACGGTCAATGGATGTCTATTATACACCATGTGCAAACACAGCTGTATTACACACCATGTGTAAACTCGTGTACATAGAAATTACAAGTGCTCCTAATCATGTAAATAACCACCGTTATTAATTACATAATTGAGTTCACACCTGGGTTGATACATGACAGACTCTCCCACGTACACAATGGCCATTTCGGGGAGTTAGCCATTCACATTGAACTGCAGCCACAATAGAAAGACAAAAAGGCTGAAAACACCTTCAGAAGAGAAGACAAATAGACTTTCTATATTAATGTTGCTTATGTACCAACGGTCAATGAACCACAGAAACGGAAAATAGCATCACAACAACTACATAAATCCACCTCTTCCACGGGTACAATAATAATAATAATCCTTGCAGTTGACAGAGTGCCTTATCACGTCTTCGAAACATCTCAAAACGCTTCACACATACACTGTAAAGTGAATTGACTGTATATTTTGTGGGTGAAATGCGGCAGCCAATTGCACACAACAGTGTCCCACAAATAGTCATGGATTGAGTGACCAATTTGTTATTAAATAAATTGAGTAGGAGATGAGGGGTGGGGGGGAGACAGCTTCAGATTTGACTTTGTCCATCTTACAAAACTAGCCATAGACATTTACTATTTATATCGTCCTCTTGATTGTAGGATATTACTCCAGTTATGGCTTATTTGTTTGCAACCATGAGAATCATATAATTGCCATTTGCCAGATATTATGAGGTTTCGCATTAGGAAAGAACTCAGATGCAACCTTGTCTTTCTTCAATGCCAATACTGTGCTTTTTATTAAGCTGCCTGTGAGACAGAAACTTTGGTGGCCTTATTTCACACTGTCAGCTTTCATATCAAATGCAGCGCTTAACCCCAGTTTCCAGAGGCAGTTTATTAAAATATACACAAGCACATGGCTTGGCAGCTAAGTCACTTTCCTTGTAATATGCCATATGGTGCTCTGTAAGCAATTTAAGCGTCACGCTTGCTTAGCAGCAAACAGGTTCTCAAGTCAGAAAAACTCCATGCAGCAGGCATAGGATTTTACTTTTCTTTTAACATTATTCTTTCACTGCCACTACTTTTGCCTGTTCCCTGCACCTCATCCCCCACCAATGGGATTTTCCTCTTTCTTTCCCTTGTGTTTGTCCACCACTTACTTAAATAAACCAGGAGACAGCAAGCACCAAAGAAATCTGAAAATCAGCATCGCCTGCCTTTGGTGGTTGATACCAAGCTATTCAATTTCCTGTGATTTTCTGCTCTATATTCTTAATCTTAACAGAAACCATTCACTTGGTTGTTCCCCTCAGGGCACAAAGAAAGCCAACACGGATTCTGAGCCACCCATCAAGTAATGATCATCGATAACTTGCCTTTACTGATCAAGGCATTAAAGAAACATTGTCCCTACTTTCTCCTAGAGAACCGTGCAGACATTTCATTGCATTATGGGTTACTGTGGAGTTCTGTAGCTCAGTGGTTAGAGCAATCGCTTTGCAAGCGAGAGACCTGAGTTCAATTCCAGGCAGGGCGAAACCTTGGGCAAGGTTCCTTACTCCATACGCCTAATAATAATCCCTCCAAAACCCAAAACAATAATAAATTGGTCATTTTCAATCTATGACTGTTTGTGGGACATTGCTGTGCGCAATTGGCTGCCGCGTTCGCCCACAAATATAGTCAATTCACTTTACAGTGTGTTCTGTGGAGCGCTTTGGGACATCCTCCTGACGTGAAAAGCGCTATCTCAAATGCAAGGATTATTATTATTATTACTTTGCTGGCATAATTACATGCATAGACACTGCAGCAACAAAACAGGCTATTCGACCCAACTAGTCGGTGCCAGTGTTTATGCTTCTTGTGAGCTTCCACCTATTCTAATTGCCTCTCCCTTTCCCCCTGCTATTCACTTCTCTGTTAGGTGGTGAAATTTAGACATTTTGTTGTGTTTCACATTTCTACATTGTAGGATTCAAAGAGCTATTTCCGTTCCATTACACATTAAGTGTGAATCTATAGAGTGACGCATGTGGAATATAATTTTTATTTTCACTGGTGTCAAATATTACCTTCAGGGACCGTAAAAGTACCAGCAACACCCACAGAATAATTTACTTCTCTATTCTTATGATAGGAGACTAACCTTTATCGGTCATTCACCAATGGCATTACTGTACACTAAATTATTTGGAGTGACATTTTGAATCACTTCTCTCCTTTTATTGATCCCTGGTTTCTACTTTTACTGTAACAAAAAAATGTTCCTCCTGAATGTGATGAATATGACTTTGCCAAGTAAAACTGAAGTCAAAGTAACTCACAGACAGACCTAATATCAAAGTCAGGTTTACCTCGGAGATGAATATCATACAAAACCACCAGTTCTGCAGTCTGATTTCTTTTTTACTCTCAGTAAGTTCAGGAAGTTCTTGTCTACCTGCAAAAAAAAACCAAATATTTTTAGAGCGTGTGAATTTTATTAACAAGAGCTATTTCCATAGTGGAAAACTACTAATCTGTGAAGCCCCTTTTTTGACCAGTCTGTGAGTGAAACACATACACGTTGTTCTGCATGTGTCTCAGTAACCTGCAGAACAAGGTGTAAAACAAATAAAGGAATCCATGGGTTAGGAAAAACAAACATTTGAAAGAGGAGACGTTAAAGAGTCAGAATTCAGCAAAGAGAAATTCCTTAATTCTGCAATTGCATAATCTCCCTTTTGAGCATTTCAGGAAGACCCATTCTACAACTAATTGCTGGTAAATGTTGTGCAGAACCATTTCACTTGCAGGAGAGGCATACACAGGGTGCTAGTTATTAATAGAAATAGATTAGAGTGAGTATAGGTTTGTTCAATAAAGTAACATTGGTCTATTGCCTATTGTTGTAAATTTCTGTCTTCTTTAAATGGTCAAGTCAATAACAAAATTAAAGTGTCTACTGGCTCAGTTGCTCTCACTTTGGCATCTGGGACAGGTTGTCGGTCATGAATTTCAGGCTCTTCTAAGACTTCAGGTCATAGCCTATCCTAAATACCCCGATTTCCCAATGAAGTACTGAATGAGTGCTGCATTGTTAGAAATCATACTTTAGATGAGGTGCTAAATCAAGGTCCTGTGTATTTGTTTTTGTGGTTCACTGGATTCAAGCCACACATAGGGATTTTGAACTCATACAGTCTAGTGCAGTGCTGGGGTGAACTGTGAACTGCGTTGCTAGAAGAGCCATCCATCTGTGGAGTCCTGTAAGTCAGTGGTTAGCACACTTGCCTCGCAAGCGAGAGACTTGGTTTCAATTCCCAGCAGGGCGAAATGTTGGGCAAGTTTCCTCTGTTTACCTAGCAGTAAAGTAGGAACCCGGTTGTTAGTCGATTGGCAGATTGCTATCCAGGGGTAATAATTCCTTCAAAAAAAATAATAAATTGGTCATTTCAATCCACGGCTGTTTATGGGACCACCAAGCACTAGTTGTACAAATGGAGTCTCAAAAGGAGACTAGTTGGTTGATGCTCCCATCCTATGGAAAATCATATAGTCTTTGTTCAATTATCTCCTCTAATATCCTGTTCAAGTACGACAACAACTTCGACTTATATAGGGCCCTCCTTGCAGGGTAGCGTCTCAAAGCGCTTAATACTTGCCATGTGAGGAATTAAGAGCAATCCACTTTAGACAGATGTCAGTTTAAAGTCTCATCTGATGGATGGTCCTCCAATAATGAAACACATTCCAAGACTACATTAGAGTGTTGGCCTAGAATACATAAATTGAAGTCCTGATGTTGGTATTGGAATCCACAACCATCTGACTATATCAAATGCAAGGATTATTATTGTTATTATTTGAAACTGTTTAATGATTATTTTCCTAGAGGTAAAACAAAGAACAACACTGATTTCAATCTACATAAAATCCATTAAGCAACAACTATATACAATTGCCTGGAGTTGTTGTGGTGAAATAGTAAATCATTTAAAAAACTAGCCTCTAACTAATTCTCCAGTCCTCTCTTGATTATATGTGGCAAAATGCACAATGTGGACTTTCTTTTGGCAAATAAATTGATGAAAAATATGTTTATCACATAATTATATTTAATGTTTTGGTTAACGAATTCCAAAGCTAACATATCTAAGTAATAATATCTGTATTTATTTATTTTTAAAAATTACTAATCCTTACATGTAAAGAATGTTTCCCAATATAGTACTTAGTATTCTGAGGTACATGGCCTTCGAAGGGCTGAGAAGGTGCCAAACAAGCTACACTTTTAAGCATTAAAGATTTTTGGCACAACATGCATGTCTGCTTTAAGGAAGACCATTAGTTTTATTAGGCCTTTTCCTCCAATGTAACAGGCAGCTTTGTTCTTAATAGCATAGTTGGACAGCCCTAGTTCTTATACAACACGTGCAATGGTGCCTACCCATTCCAAAGTCAACACCATTAACGCCCATCATTGTCTTTTTTCCGCTTCGAAAAAGAGGGCCTTATTGAAGTGAAATTTCAGACCGTTTTCTTTTCTTAGCAACAGCAGAATTTACTTCCACTAACCACCCTCCCCATTGGGTTCTGGAATGCTTTTCAAAATGTGCAGCAAAATAACAAAAATAAGGATGCCAAGTAACGTGTTCAACTTGTAGTGGCAGTTGAAGAATAGGCAACTGTCTACCAACCTTTAATATAAAGGTTGAAGAGCTCCTTCTAAGAAACTAAACCCCACACTCCCCCCATGAATCTACTCTGCTCTACAGGAGATGGAAAAAAAAGTACTACAAGGTGTTGGAACTATGCAAGCCATTCGTAGCAATGTCTGGATTTTAAAAAAAAGCAAAGTACTTATCCAACGGCTCAATTCACCTCACAAGATCGGTTTGGATGAAGAAGGTTGTTTAGCCCATTTAATCTTTCTATTGTTCTCCCATCATTTCATCAAGCTTTTCTTTAAATTGAGTCCAGCATCGTGGCCTTGACCACCTTTCCTTGTAATCTATTCCCCTCTGATATTTTTTAGAGTCTATCCTGAAATTGCCTTTACAAACCTAAACCTGTGGTGCTGGTGCTGCCCCACCTGAAGGGTACGATATAAATACAGGTTATTGTTAGCGTTGTTGCTTCCTAAAGCGTTGTTCTGGGTTTATGTTCTCAATCCCATGTAAAATCCTATATATCTCTGTAAGATCCCCGCGACCTTTCAAGAATGAAGAGCACCCGCTTCATTGCTCATTCCTCGAATACTGGGGAACATCTCCCATGTTCTCCTCTGTACTGCCTCTTGAGCCTGGGCGGCCTCCTGAAGTCACAGCAACTTGAAGTATACACAATTTAATGTGGCCTGACCAGAGTAGTATACAGATTCAACAGGGCTTTTGGAGCCTTGAACCCAAATGAGTTGGCAATACAGCTCAGCATCCTGTTTGCCTTGTTTATTGCTGCCTCACACTAACATGGTGAGCGATGAGTCATTAACACCCCTCGGTCTACTTCAGCTTCTTGGCAAGATCCATCCCTTTTTTTCTGGTCACATGTAAGTGTTGTCTGACACATATAAGGGTATCCAAACCAAACAGAATTCCATGCATCCCATCTACACATGGAAATGCCAGAGATGTTTATGGGAATTGAATGCACACTCTCACCCTGGAGGAACACATCCTGCTTACCTAATTCTGGAAAGTATTTGGTGCAAGAACCAAGGCTTGGGAACCCCAGAGTTTTAGCTGGTTAGACTCCTAGAGTCGCATAGCTTGCCATTGAGAGTACTGTCTGGCAAGCTTTTGCACTACTTGTCCAGCTAGGAAAACCTTATCATTAAGTCCTTTGGGTTGCAGGGTTAATGGGAGCTGAGTGCGAAGAGTCCACAGCCCCAGTGACTTTTTGCACAGGGTGGAGGAAGCCCCTCCTCTCCATCTACAGGAGCTGAGATCCATAAAGGAGGACTGTTTACAATTAAGTCTTGTATGCCACAAGCTTAACCAGCATTAAGACTTTGCTGTCCTTGAAGAGAGACGAAGTGGTCAGAAAGCCCTTCGCTTTCCGGTAGCCAGAAAGTCCTAGGTTCATCTCTAGTCTGTCATCATCAACCTGTCCCTCTCCTCTGGCTCTGTCCCCATTCCATTAAAAACTGCCATCATCACGCCCACCCTGAAAAAACCCTCCCTTGATGCGTCGCAGCTATCAAGCTACCGGCCCATCTCCAACCTCCCCTTTCTCTCCAAGGTCTTGGAAAGAGTTGTCGCCTCCCAACTGCGCTCTTTCCTTTCCACCCATTCTCTTTTTGAACCCCTTCAGTCAGGTTTCCGTGCTGCCCATAGCACAGAAACTGCCCTGGTCAAGGTCACCAATGATATCCTGACCATCTGTGACCAGGGCTCCCTCTGTCTCCTCGTCCTCCTCGACCTATCGGCAGCATTCGATACGGTCGACCACGCTATCCTACTCCACCGCTTGTCCTCCCACCTCAACCTTCAAGGCACTGTCCTTGAATGGTTTAGGTCGTACCTTTCTCACCGTCTTCACTTTGTCTCAACGAATGGCTTCTCCTCCACCCCCCGTACTGTCTCATGTGGTGTCCCTCAGGGCTCTGTCCTCGGTCCCCTCCTCTTCACCCTCTATATGCTCCCCCTCGGTGACATCATCCGCAGACATGGAGTTAACTTCCACATGTATGCGGATGACACCCAACTCTACCTTTCCTCCTCTACTCTCAACTCCACGACCACCGATGTCCTGACAGCCTGCCTGTCCGACATCGAGTCCTGGACGAGAGACAACTTTCTTCAGCTCAACGTGCGAAAAACCGAGGCCCTCCTGATTGGCTCACGTCAGCGCCTCCGCACCTCAGGCGCTGACACCATCAGCATCCAAGGCTGCACTCTCCACCTCTCAAAGCCAGTCAGGAACCTCGGCGTTTTGTTCGACCCTGAGCTGTCCTTTCTCCCTCACATCCGCACCACAACTGGCACCGCCTTCCATCACCTCCGGAACATCGCCAGACTACGGCACTACCTCACCCCTCACGCTGCTGAAACCCTGGTCCACGCCTTTGTCACCTCAAGGCTGGACTATGGGAACTCTCTCCTCGCCGGCCTTCCCGCCACCTCCCTCCACAAGCTGCAGGTCATTCAGAACTCTGCAGCTCGTGTACTGTCCCGCACCAGGCTTCGCGACCACATCACTCCCACCCTCGCTCGCCTCCACTGGCTCCCCATCCCCCAGAGGATTGATTTCAAGATCCTCATCCTCACCTACAAGGCCATTCACGGCCTTGCTCCCTCCTACCTCTCCAACCTACTATCCCCCTACCTACCTGCCCGTACCCTCCGTTCCTCTGGCTCTGGTCTGCTCCACGTCCCCCGCCCCAACCGCCCTACCATCGGTGGTCGGGCCTTCAGCCTCTCAGCCCCCAGGCTCTGGAACTCCATCCCCCAGTGCCTT